AAGTATTCAGTTTTGTGTAATCTACACATAGCCTTAATCTACCATCTACACGAGGCACTACTACAATGGGTGAACACCATTCTGTTGGTTCTGATATGGCTTCAATTACACCTTCTTTTATCATTTTATCTAGCTCTTCTCTTACTGGTTTGTATAGAGATACAGCCACTCTTCTGGGGGACATTACTGCATAAGGTTGAGCGTTTTCTTGTAGTTTAATCTTGTATGTACTGTTTAGACTGCATAACTGCTCAACTTCATCTTTATCAATTAAATTGACATTAAAGGTTATCAGACCTAAACTAAGTAGTGCATTTCGGCTTAGCAACGGAGAATTTTGTTTACCTAGCACGTACAAATCTTCTGATAGTACTCGGTCATTGTATTTGAGAAGAACCTTAGCTACTCCCAGAATGTTGAGCCTATTTTTGCCTGGTCCATACAATACACGATCACAACCTTGTAATTGGAGACCGAGGGATCGAGCCTGATGTTCTCCAATGACTGATACATCGGCCCCTGTATCCATTTTAAACCAAACTTTATGTTCATTGATGTCTATTTCAACTACAGGGCATTCTTTGCCGTACTTCATTACCTGAATTTCACCCAGACAAAAATTTGAAGTGTCATTTCCCTTGTTGTCCTCGACTTCCCGTATTGTTTTCTGTCCTTGTTTTATACAACACTTAGCAAAATGTCCCTTCTCACCACATCTAAAACACTCAACTTTATATGCTGGGCACTCCCTATACTTATGAAATAGGTTACATTTGTTACATCTCATCTTGTTTCTGAAAGAGCCTACTTTACTGCTAACGGCTCCTACTACCTCATCTTGACTAATTGAATTTGATATGTCGCCTACTCGATCTCTTACTACATTTTGCTGTTTCAAAATAGACTCGGATTGCCGAACTTTGTTGATAGCCTTCCTTAAAGTTAGTGAATCGTCCATTTGTAGAGTCTCTGAAAGTTTGGGATTATTGACTCCAATTACAATCAAAGTATCAGCTCTTCCTTTAAATTTCCAAATTCACACGTTTCAGCTAATTTATGAAGGTCATTTATAAAAGAATCTACTGTTTCATCGGCCCCTTGTCTTCTCTTAAGAAACTTGGCACGTTCATATACAATGTTACATTTGACTTTTAAGAAATCACTGAAACTTTTAACAACTTCTTCATACTGAAGATTATTCTCATCAAAAATACCAAAAGTAAGGAAAAGATCCTCACCTTTGTCGCCTAGAGTGTACAAGAGCATACTAATTTGTTGACTGTCAGGCTTGAAGCAAAGCTCTGAAGCAATCCTGTACCTCTCAAACCTTTTCATCCAACGAGGCCATAAGGCAGGATTTTGAAAATCAAAAGCTTCTGGTGGAGAAATTTGAGTCTGCATACCTGAAACTGTAGTAACCCTCGAAGATTCGGTTGAGGTTTTATCTCTTACACCGTTCTTTGAACAAACCTGATTCCTAGGCTTGGACTCATCTTCACTTGATTCAAGATCTAATTCCTTTTGTAAGTAATCACTCTTCTTCAAATTTCTTTTAGATGTTCTTTTATTTCGGCTTCCCATATTTCTTTCAACCTGAGACCATGTGAAGAAACTATCTAATTAATCAAAATGAACATTTTTGGAACAGTATTTTATCTAGTAATTTCAACAACTCATCTCAAAAACAAAAGGTAAATAATAACAATAAATAATCAGTTCATCTGGTCTTTTAAACATAAAACATATGGTTAATTAATAACACCACAATATTCCTTTGGTAGAGTTTGAAGGAGTCAAGCACATAAATCGTCTTCATTAATAGGCTTACCGTATATTGTTAATTGGTTTTGGATTTCGTCAAATTTTTCGAGATGTCCATTCATCCAAGGGTAGGTTCCCAAGAAATGTTATGGAACTTATTTCTCAATATGTCAATATTTTCAGTTGACTTGACATCATAAATTTGGACAAGTTTCTCCCACATCTCTTTTGCTGTAGAGCAATTGCTTACTCTAAGTAGAGGATTCGTCTCAAGGGATAGAACAATATATTTTCTGGCTTTTGCATCGTTTTTTGTCCAATTTACCAATTTTTCGTCATAATTTGGTGTACCTGCTGTTGGTTTTCCGAATTCCCCACTAACAATTCCATAAACTCCTTCACATTCTAAGATTACCTTCATGATTATTTTCCATGTTGTGAAATTCTCAGTCCCTCCCAATTTTTCAATCTGTTTTTCATTACTCATCATTCACTATTCAATTAACTTCTTCTCAATTAATTTAACCACTCTGTTCTGCTACCATGTTGGAAATATCGTCTAAAATAACAACTCGTCTAGTGGATCAAAAATTAAGTTAATTTAATAGTTAAACAGATAGAATGAAAAACTTAGATTTGTGTATACATCTTACTTCATCAAAATATAACAAACAACTAAACTCTGTTACCAAAGAAACATCATATGTTCTTTTCTAACATAACTATTATGGACATTATAATATGAATATCTTTAACAGTTTTAAAATACCATTTTATCACAAATTAGATTCCATATAAAAACTCATATTTTTAAGGAAGTTGCGATGGTCAATGTTTTGTTGTTTGTTTAAATTCTGAATCAGACAACCGGCGTAGTTCATGCCGGCTCAAAATTATTGTGTGCTCTCCGTTATTTATCGTATCTAAGTGTGATAAGTAAACAGAATCAGGGAACCGCTCTTGCTTTTTACGAAACGAAATAGTTGTAGACAGAAAACATCCAAATGGAGGTATCACTGGCACGGCAACTCTGCTAGAAAATCAAGCCGCTGTAAAACATTGTTATGTTGGTACCACTAGAAGAATCAATCAGCTCATTGGCTGTTGGCAATTGCAAAGCCCTAGTTCCAAAGTACTATTCCCCTAATAAATATGGCGGCCAACATCTCTCAATTTTCGCATTCAGTGCTACCCTCGGTTGTACTCTAGTTCAGTGCGAGCAACTATTGCCGCCATTGTCGGTATTGACTTAACCTTGATCGTAATAAGTAATTGTCTGCGATGGTGTGTGTATGTGTATGTGTGTGTAAACGGATACTGACAGTGACAATGGAACTGATCTAGGCAGACACAGGCGAACGATTTAGACAATACAATTCCCAATCGACGCACGACTGTGGATTGAATTGATGTTTAGTATTTAGTATGTTTTTTAAAATTTGATTAACAGAGTATACTACTGTAACAATCAACAAATTTAATATTAACAAGTGTACGGTACCTACAACGATAAACTAGACACGAAAAACAAGCTTCATAATTTACAATGGGATGAGAAGGCTACTTGTGTTGTTTAGTCTATGGTTCAACCAGGTTACTTGGAAAATAAAACAACCGAGTAAAACCCTATTTCGTTTGCTTGAAATAAAATTTGACTTTAAAAAAGGGCGAAGCATATATTTTTGTCGTGGTAAAAAGTAGGCCTACCGACACCATTTTTTGGTCACACCATCGGTACTCTCGTCTTGAGCTTACTCCAAACATAGCTATATTTCAACATCTGTGATATTTTTTTTCCTACACTCATCTAAAATAACATAGGTACCATTTATTAACGCACATTTTTGGACTTGGACGACTTGGTTTTGGCGTTGGTATGATGGCACAATCAAGTAGGTGCCTATTACCTAACATGAAATGATGTTATGGTTGAGGAAGTTTAATTGGTTTAAATAGACAACAAAATTATTTTCATTTTAGGCTATGGAGGTTGGGATTTCTTTATTTCTTGATTTACGGCAGGGAAATCTGTTCTACAGTAAATGACAGATCATTATTTAATTTTTCAGAATACAGAATATTTACAGAAAATTAAAAAAACCACCATCTAAAAATCTTGCAATACCAAGGCTCTGTAGCTGTTCCACACGATAGCTTGGGTTTTAAGGTTGCTATGGCATCTTTTACATCTCTGATGGTTACGGGTTGAAACTGAAATTGACGTGGGTTTGTATCTATGCATGGTGAGTGATTTGACTGTTGATTTGTGGTTAGGGTTTTTTCGCCAATCTGAGAGAAGTAGAGGTTGAGATGGTTTGCTATAGTTTTAGGTTTTTCTTCCAGCTGTCCGTCTATTTTTAGTCAAAATTTGTGTTCCAGTGATTGTTTGGTTTTACGCTCAGAGTTTACGACATTCCACAAGGCTTTGGATTTATTTTGTGATCGAGCAATATGGTTGGATATAGCTTTTTGTTTAAGATTTCTCAATTTTAGGTCATAATCTTTTTTTTTATCAGTCATGATGGCTTTATCAGCAATATACCCTGAGATCTGAAATGCTTTCAGGGAGTTCAGATAGACTCATTACAGAAGTACGCAAAGAGTAATTAAGACTAGATGTATCTTTAGCAGGATTGCTTCAGTTAAATAGTTGATACAAACCCCTCAATAATTCAAAACTAAACACTGGCAAATAAACTTTTTGTAAATAAACCATTATTAGCTTACTTTTGAATTATAGCAGTGTCAATATGTATAGATAAACGTAGCAATAGAAGGAGGAGACAGGTTTTAGGGATATGGTCACACAAGAGGCACAAAAAATAATAACAATAAAGGTAAATCAATTTTTGTCAAATAAATTATCAGTGTTATTTATATTCTAAACTAAAGAGACAAGCTTTAAATTTATGATTACTGTTATATTTTACTATTTAACACTCTTCATTTAATTTTAATATTTGATTTATGAAGGATCCACTGTTCAAAATGAAGAAAGTAGCCCATTGACTAATACTTTCTGACAATGGCTAGGGCCTATAAAAAAACTGAGATGGTAGGATTTTAAAATCTTCTTAAGAAGGCTAAAAGGTCAAATGTAGTATACCGTTTGTTAACTATTAGGACTGCTGAAAATTGAATACATAAGAGGCATATTGAGGGAAGCTTTAGGGTGAATATTTTAAAACTGTGTGGTATATTTTTGTTTATAATACATAGGTTGTATAAACAGTAAATACCTGGGACATTGAGTGTGTCATGTAACAGAGAACGGCTGCTAGAGAAGAACGGCCTCAGTGAAGGTTTAGGAGTGGATGAGATACTCATGGTATCAACCTCAGGACCAGAGTCACTCATGTCTTCCAACTCCTCAAAGAGGTCCTCTATATCTGCCGGGTCCATGTCTGTACCTATATATCAACAATTGGCACTTGAGCTTCACATAAATAATTTTGTAGTTTTAGACAGAAAAAGCATACTCTTAACACCTCTACAAAATAATTGAAAGAAATTGTGAGTTTAGTTTTAGACAGAAAAAGCATACTCTTAACACCTCTACAAAATAATTGAAAGAAATTATGAGTTATAACTAAACTGATTTTTCCATTGAATTGCTTGCTGATAAGCTGAGTCTGTTAGTCGTCTTTATGTCAAAAGTAGTTTTTGAACCAATATATTTAGGGATAAGCGAGTGGTGTCATTTTAATTGTGGAAAACTGTCTTTAAACTGTGAGTAATAATCCAAAACTACTGCGTTCAATGTTTCTTGTTTAATTCCTTGATTTTAAGGACCATTATGCTTAAGTTCATTTTAAGCTATCCAACCTTGTTTTAACCCTAGGAGTGGCCAATGTTAGAAGTGGGAAATGGCCAACCCATTTTGGCGATTTTGCAGACTTTTTTTTTTTGAAAATTTGTAAAAATTCAACCGTACAAGTAAACCTAGCCAACCTCATATTCATTTTGTTCGGAAAGAACAGGAGAGTCTAGAAATAGTATTATAATAATGATTTAGATAGTGTATTTTATTCGGTAAAGTGAAAAAAAAATAATAAGATTTTTTTTGGAATTTCAATAGTAACCTAGGTAAAATTTCTACAGATTTTTTTTTATGGGAAATTCATTATATACATTTTGTAGACAAACTAATTAACCCTACATAGAAATATATAACATGTTAGGAAAATTTATTTTTTTATAAGTTTTTTAAGTGAAATATAATAACAAATGGAGAATGAAAAAATTGAAAACCGTACAGTTTTAGTTTGTGTTGTAAAAAGTTATATAATATACGTGAATACTAATAATTATATTATATTTAAATACAAGTTTGTATAGCTAATAAAGTAAGGAAGAATCCATAAAAGTCATAAAGTTTATGGTAAAAATAGTTTTTTATTTTTAAATAAAATAATGTTTTTATATTTTAGCGATTTTGTGAAAAAAAATTCATAGTATTTAGTGTAAATATTTTGTACCAAATATTTTTACTTCAAACCAACATAATCATCTTGTAGTGTATTCAAATACCTATATAAAAATGTATAACACAGTGGGTAACAATTTTGTTTTTACATGTTAGGGGCATAATAATATAATAAACGGAAAACTGCCAAATACAACTGCAAGAAAAATACAACTTTTTATAAACACAATAATAATCATCTATATATATAAAAGGCAAAGCCCTCACTGACTCACTCACTCACTCACTCATCACTAATTCTCCCACTTCCCATTTACCTAGAAGGCTGAAATTCGGTACACCGATTCTTTGGGCATTAAATAGGAAAACTAAGTAGTTTTTATTCTGATCGGGCTTTCGGGCTCCGCCCCAGTGGCTCTGGAGTTTCCCATGTTAACCTTATGAGTACTCATATGTAAATGGAATTAAAGAATCTTAACAGCTGTTTCAATTAAACAAGTTGGTTCTGTTCTATGATGTTCAATAGCATTAAAGTTACAAGGATTACAAACAGGGTGCAGCACTATTATTTTTTTAAATTTATGACACAGCTAATTTGCAACCAAAAGGTGAGTGAGCGTAGCGAAAGAACTTCAACCTGGAGGCGAGTTAGCATAGCGAACGAGTTAACCTGAAGGCAAGTGATCGCAGCGAACGAGCTCCAACCTAAAGGTGAGTGAGCGAGCGTAGCGAACGAACTTCAACCAGGACGTGATCAAGCCATGCGAACGAGCTCATCTTGAAAATTAAGAAGTTAAACGGGGCAAAGCCCGCGGGTACAGCTAGTATAATATAATAATAATAATGTCTTTATTGCTCTTTGACAATTATAGCCTACATTGTACAGCAAACGTCAATCAATAAAAAAATGCAAGAAATGAGATAAAATACAATCGCTGTGTAAACTAAGGTAGGAAATTGGGTATTTATTTATAAAATCTATATATATTTATATTATGTAAAAACAGTAAATGAATAAACTATTAATTAATAACAATAAATAAACTCCTAACAAAAGTAATAACAGCAATTATTTTAATAAACAATGACTAAAAACTAGGGATGGACGAGATTGGATTTTTAGTTCGAGACGAGACGAGATTTTTTATTTCTCATAAAATTTCGAGACGAGATCGAGACGGGATTTCCCTTCTCATACACAACGGGAAATGCACGTTCGGAATTTTTACCTGATTTTGTAACATTGTTAGATGACTGTTTAAATACAAAAATAATGATAATAGGCAAGAATATTTACTATCTTTTATTAAAAAACATCAGCATAACATTTTTTAATTAATCACACCTAAATTATTAAAAATGCCTACGATTAGGAAACATAGTGATATCAGTTAGGATAGAGTTCAACTTATCCTAAAATAAAATAAATCATAAAAGAAAATATTAATTTTTATAAAATAGTTACTTGTTTTGACTTTTTTATAGTAATAAAACATTCCTCACACTGCTAACACTTAACAAAACTTCTCAAATGTTATTAAAATAATTAAAGTAATATTTACATTTTTGAGGAATTAATTAAATAAGAACGCCTTCGCAAAGGAAACGCAACTACAACACACTCCTGTATTGCGGGTATTGCATTGACTTTCTGCAGGCGTTTTTAATTTTTTTTTTTTTTTTTTTTTTTTATTCTCGTCTCAATAAAAATCTCGGCCAAAAAGAAATCTTGTCTCGTGTAACAAGATTTAAAATTTCCCGTAATTTCGAGACTTGACCATCCCTACTAAAAACTAACTAAACCCCTGGGGAAGAAAATTTTGCAATCTATTCAACTCCAACTATTTAGTGAACTCATCCACCTCGTAGAACACAAGATTCGTCAACTCTCTCTTCATAGTCCAGGCGCTAAACGGGTTGAGTATGCACTGAAAGTCTGACAAAATTTGACTTTTGATTATTGTTGGGGACATCTAGTAGATGAAAAAAATCGATGATGTCGCATTTCTAGGGTGGTCACAACTCGGGGGGGAGGGGGGGAAGTTGCGCGGGTCATCGGTTTACGTTACCACGTCTAACTCACAAACGGTTAATGATAGAAAGGTGGTTTAAGCGTCTATCAACGCCTAAATATATTATCCTTCAAAAAGGTTATTACAACCTTTCTTCTATCTCTTATGCTTTAGGCCTAAATCAACTTTTATTGCAAAAATTAAAATTTTAAACTACTTTAAAATCAAATATCGGAAATATTGTACGCGTTTAAGACATGCTACAGAAGATTTATGGTTAGAAAAACTAACAAATAGTACAAGAACACCAAGTTTAAGGAAATATGTGCAAAAACAACAGAGCTACGTTTCATTACGTAAGAGTAAACGTGGAAAATTCGTAGTAGTACCGAGGCGCGCATGGACGGTACGTAGCCCACAGTCAATATAGGTTTGATGTTGTAAGTAACTATGGGAAAGCTGAATTTTTCTATGCTGTTAGACCATGTTGAGATAAGTATTTTCCCAAAATTCCCCACTCCTACCCCTTTGTGCTTTCCTATACCCCCCCTTTTAGATAAATGTACAGTCTCTTAGAAATTAAGCTATAACTTTAAAACGGGTAAGGATAATAACGCAATCTTTTATTAATCATTTTGCGTTACGATATTCTACAAAAAGTGTATTTACCATGGTATCCTAAATATTCATAGTTAAAAAATATCATAAACATAAAAAAATGTTTTTTACGGATTAATTTATGAAACTTTTCTTTGTCGATTTTTTTATACGAGGTCGCACAACAAAATGTTTTGATACAACATTTGGGGTGCATAGTTTACATTTTAAAATGATACATAGTTATTAACAGTTTGTTTGCATATAGTGGTTATAGATAGTACAGTATATTGATTGTACAGGACTCTGGCTTTTTTGTGCACCGCAACAATGAAAAAAAATACGTATATTATGGTTTTTTGTATTTGAATTTGCCGCTTTATATAGATTATATTAACGTTAAGTAGCTCATCCAGTACATATACAGACTATAGTGATATACTAGTTAAAAATATGTTCGCCATTTTCCAATATGGCTGACAACTTTGTTAGTCCTATGGAATACCCTGTATTTTATGATTGTTTTAGAATGTAAACGCACAATTTTTAAACCTCTTTATTCTTGACATTTTTCTCTAAAGCTACTTGTTTAGGAGTTACATCGAAGAAGAAATGGTTTGTGAGCACATCCTGCATCCTGTAGCTCATAAACGAGTAAGTTCAAGAGCGAAAATACAAAGAATAAACAAGTTTTCAAATCACATCTACATTTTAAAAAAACTATAAAATAAATTGTTCCAATAACAAAGTAAGCTACCGTTTTTGAAAATGGTGGCCATTTTTAAAACAACAAAATCAGTATTTTTTAACGTATTTTATATATGTTTTTGAACGAGGACTTATATGTGACTTATTTATTCTTTGCACTTTCTCTCTCAACTTACTCGTTTATGAGCTACAGGATGCCGAATGTACACCACAAGCCTTTCTTTTAGATATAACACGCTGTAACTCCTAAATGGGGTAGGTTTAGAGAAAAAATGTCACGAATAAAAAAATAGCTTTTAAATTCTAAAATAATACTAAAATACAGCGTATTCCATAAGAAATAACAAAGTTGTTGGCCATATTGGAAAATGGTGGATATATTTTTTTATTCGTAACCATCCCTAAAAACATTTTTTACAAACAAAGGGGGTCGTCTAATAAAAAGTTAACTCTATATGGAAAATAAAATGTATGTATGTCCACTATGTAATCTCAACCGGGATGAAACGTGTACCCTTTTATAGCAGAATGTCCAATTAAAAAAAAAGATACGTCAATTTTGGTCCAACAAGTTATATTTAAATGAATATGAGTTTTTTTTAAATTTTTAAATGGCAAAGATTGGTGGGCACTTGGAAATTATCTCAAAGGGGCGTGGAGTAAAGGG